ACATCCTGTGATCTCATCATGTAACCGCGATACATAACCTTCTTCCGTAACCAACACCATGAAACACTCTGACACAGAAATCATCACCATGAACCCAACATGAAACGACTGCATGAAGCGGCGTAATCTCAACAATTTCCGCACATGGCTGATCTATATGGTAATTTGATGTTGGGGTGTACTGACAGTCTGAGCCTTAGGTTTAGATTGGATCTGTCGTTTGGTAGGGGATTCTACGAATCTGATTGCGATTTGATCGTCGCTAAATAGTCAATCACTGCTTATACCCGTGAACTCGTGTTTAGGGTTCACCACGACATTGACCACCCTGAGACTATGTCCATACCACACGCAATCACTATCAATCTACATACGAGATCGCGCAATCTTTACGGACAAGTTATTACGACACGTAATTACCTAAGGTTAGGATACTTCGCATAGGAAGAAGAAAGGAAATGGAAAATGGCTGCTTGAAGTGATCGGCTTCTAAAAGCCATTAATTTTAACATGCGAGCTCTATTCGATATGTTACTTTTTGGCTTTTGATTTTGGACGTAAGCCCATCGCAACTCGTCGTAGGTCCAAAAACCTTATCAAATGAACACGCATACGCTAATAAATCTTAAGATCTGGAAAATGATGGATGTCCGGTCGTATCATTTTGAATAGTAGGTTATTTCGGCGCATTAACAAGAAAATGTGCGGTTAAAAAAGTAAAATCGTTTTATTGCGCCATGTCTTAAAATAAGTGAGACACAACCTATTTGCGTCATACCCGCACACATTTGTTGCAGTCTCATGATTTATGTCCGAAGATATGCGATTCGACTTGTTCAATGTCCACGCCTTTATTATACAAAAAAAATTACTTGAACTTGGCACTCGCGATTTCACCATCTTTGTACACTTCGAGTTATCATACTGTAACTGCAAATATTCATTCCATCAAATACCTCAAGTTGTCATTGCGACAAATTTGTAGTCAATTTTGATACTTTTAAAGTGCTTCAGAGCTTAACCTCCCGCTTTAGCTTACATCGTGAATGTTGTCACAAACTTACTAAATATAACTATGGTGACTGAAACTGCACAAGTTGTCGTGCCACAACTGATGCCCGATACTAGCAAGTACGCATAAATTAGTTATTTCGAAATCACAATGTTAGGCTCGTCGACTTCGCGTATGTTTTTCCGTGATTTCTTTGTGATTTGATATGTCTAGCAGACCTAGGAATTCACAGTCCTGAATTATCATACAAAGCTCTAGCTTTCAGGAAATCATCGGACTTGATCCACGGCAAGTAGCGGCTTCCTGTGGTACCTGCAACACCCGCTGGTCTGCACCTGATTGGGAGGGAGTAGGTGGCGCGGGGTGGGGCGCAGCCTCAAGTCAGCGCATTTATGGACTTGTTCGACACAAAACACGTCGGTGGCAAAAGGCTCCCACACAGTCCCGATACGACGTTCGACCGCGTTCATTCAACTGCACGACTGTATGCCAGTGAGTAGCTAGTCGTCGATCGAACGAGCACACTATCGAAGCAGACGGGGCTATAATGGCTTTACGCCGCCGGATGCGAGGTCGTCCGTCCCGTCTCTGGTCGCACCATCGACGTTGCATTAGGAAAATTGCAATCCCAGGTCTGCCCTTGCAAAGCCGAGCCAATTTGCAGTGAGTCGGGAGAGACTGAGCATGTTTGTGTCTAAATGTGTTGGGTTGGGTTGCATCTGTGGTAGACGGACCGCAAGTGTCAGAAAGCAAAGAGCAAGTGCCCAGTAAGGAAAGGAAACGCGCCTTGCTGCAGTCCGTCCTCAAGTCGTAAAGTCCACGTCCCAGCAGCAAGTTTCCGCGTGTCTTTCTTCTTCTCTCACGCTGTCGTTTCAAAACACGACGACGTGACGCTATTTTGGGGTGGGGCCGCCTCTCGCTTCACATACCTTCTTGTCTCGTCGTCTGTCATTAGGTCAAGAACGAAACGACCATCACTCTTGCTTTCCGCACTCGACCCACCCCTATTCGCCTGCCGCATTCGTCACTTACAAACATCAAGTCTAGCACGCACCCCCCAGCAATGGCGCACTTGTTGGATGCGCGCATGATGTCCCGCACGCCCCGTCCGCCTCCAGTCTCACGACGGCAGCGGCCGCTGCGCGCTACCGCCAGTCGGCGCAAGTCGTCGCTCAGTGGCTCGTCCACGCACGACAGCAGCGTCATGACCGCCGCCAGTTCGCCGCGCGCCCGGCCGTCGGGGGGCTCGTCGCGCGCCCCGTCCCGCACCAATAGCGGCTTCAACTTGACGACCGCGACGGCCAAGTTCGGCGCCTTGTCGCGAGCGCACGGCAAGCGAAGCGGCCGCAGTCGATCGTCGCGACGGAACAAGAGCCAGGCCATGGCAACCCCTAACCTCATCGACCTCAAGACCATCACGGCCGAAGAAGTCGAGTGGGAAGGGTATCTGTACAAGCAGCGGAAGCTAGTCAAGAGCTGGACGCCGCGCTACATCACGCTCCAGAACCGCACTGTGTCCATCTACAAGTCCAAGACCCACGCGCTCGCCAAGGAGCAGTACCGCGGCCAGTGGGTCATCAAGCAGATCCTGAGCTCGCTCCCGTCCGCTGGCTTTGGCGGCTCGAAGCTCAAGCCGGAAGAGCTCGGCTTCAGTTTCCTGGCGGCCAATGGCAACATGATCCACTTTATCGCTGCGTCGGCCGTGGAGAAAGCCATGTGGATGCACATGATGCACCTGAGTTTACACAACACGAAGACGCGGGAAGTGTCGGCGCTGCAGCAAGGACGGCCACGGGGTGACGTGCCGCCCACGCCGACGCCGCGCTCGGCAGACGACGTCGTGTCGCTTGAATCGTCCATCACGACGCGGCTCGCTGAGAAGTTTCTCGCAGATCTCGTTCGTCTCTTGACCGCCACGTCGTCAGAGAACGTCATTGAGTGCTTGCCGTCGTTCCTGCGGCAGCTGAGCAAAGACGTGGAGCTCCTGTTCGACCTCGAGACGTGCGAGACGACGCAGCCGTCGTGTGTGTTCAAGGGCATCTACCACGGCCGCGAAGGCCTTGTCCACTTTGCAGCGCTCTACGTGAGCAAGTACTTGCTGGCTATAGACGTGGACGAGAAAGCGGTGCACCGAACCGACGACGACGACCACCACGCGTTCATCTACGCTGGCCATCGCCTGATTAACACTGTGTCTGGCTCGACGACGGAAGGAAAGTTTGGACTGCAGATCACGTTCACACCGGCACGGCGCATTTCGCGCGTCGTGCTTTCGTTTCGTCAACGCAACGCGTCGAGATCGAGGGCTCGTCGGGTCACGACGAATCCGATGGTCATTGCGGAGCACACCGCGTGTTTTCACCAGTATTGCCTCACGAAACGGTCTTTGGCTCTCTCGTTCTCGGACTTTGATGTCGTGGGCGTGCTAGGACAGGGCGGGTTTGGCACCGTCGTGCTGGTGCAGCGCCATTTGAATCCGGACGAGTACTTTGCCATTAAGATTATTGACAAACAGTCTGGCGCCGAGAGTGCGCTGAAGGAACGGCGCATCTTGTCGGGTGTGCGGCACCCGTTCCTCACGTGCTTGCGCTTTGCGTTCCAGACGCAGACCAAGCTGTATCTCGGGATGGATTACTACAAGGGCGGCAACTTGTACCTGCACATGCATTCTTCAAAAATGGACCCGAACTTGTCCACAAGCAGCGGTCGGCGGTTCTCGGTCGAGCGCGCTCGCTTTTACGCCGCTGAACTTGCCATCGCTCTTTCGTATTTGCACGCGCACGGTATCATCTACCGCGACCTGAAACCTGATAATATCATGCTTGACAAGACGGGAAACATTCGTCTCGTGGACTTTGGTATCTCGAAGCAGCTACGTCTTGAGGGAGAACCGGGGAGTCACAATTATTCGCAGGCTGGAACGCTGGCTGGGTCACCTGCATACATTGCTCCTGAACAGTTGCTTACCCAAAAGCCGCAATACGGTATGGAAGCAGATTGGTGGAGCTATGGTGTACTGCTGTACGAAATGCTGACAGGCGGCACTCCATTCTTCGATGCGAATATCTCGCTAATGTACAAGAAAATCCAGACTGCTGACGTCAAGTACGAAAAGTACCCACCTATCGATGAAGATGCCATTGATTTGCTTCAGAAGCTGCTGGTTCGTGATCCGTCGGAGCGCATTACTATTGACGGGGTGCGTGCACACCCGTTCTTTGCAACGATCAATTGGGAGCAATTAGAGCTCAAGGAAGTGGAACCGCCGTTCATTCCGCCGACTGAAGAGTTGATGCAAAATGTGCATGAGCACTTTCGCAACATGAACGTGACCGATACAATCGCCGAGAATCCCAAGGCTGTTCATAGCAGAAAGGCAACTACTATTGCGAATGCCAACGACGGATCGCACTTTGATGAGTTTAGTTTCGCATACGACAGGACTCGTGAAACGTTTGACGATCTCTCTATGGCAGACGAGGGGTGGTTGGTGCGACAGTTGCAAGAAGGCGCGGCAATGCGTGGGCGACTGAATGCGAGCGACACCGACCCCGTTGTGGACGAGTTGGGTAGCGAAGATGAGATTGTCCACCCGATTTTGAACGGCCAGGACAGCAGTGAAAGCGACGAGCCGGAGGTCGAAGTCACCAACATCTAAGTGAAGTGCAAACGGTCTCAGTCATCTGAGGGCACGTACGTACATGTATAGGTCATGGTGCTGAAGCAAAATTGAGTGGACAAATTGAGCAGTTCGACGATGTATTATGCAATATGGAGCAGTCGACAGACGGGTTACAGTAGCCGGAGCACGATAATAGTTTTTCGCTCCAGAACATTGTCGCTTCTCTGTGCAAGCCGATTCTCGTTGGAATAAGTGTGGCTAGGTTGCGCCACTCTGACCTCAAGAAGAGGGTCCAACGATGCAGGGCCATTTGCTGCATATTACGCATAATTTACAGAGCATTTGACTACAATTTACAGCTTGCATCTACGACGCTGTCTTCTGTTTCTTGCGGACAGGATTGATACGACGGCTGGTGCTCATGTCGCGTTGTTCGGTGTCGCTGTCCATTACGAGTTTGGGGGCATGCGCCCGGCGCAGATTAGCAGGTACTGTGTTCACTGCGCGGTTGATTAAAGCGAGGTCCTGTGAATGATGTAATAACGATTGTTGTGAGCAACTCGTCGAGTAACGAAGCCAGAAAGCGGAGAACGTACCCGCGCAGGGCTTTCGCCGATCGCGTACAGAGCGTGGGAACGTGGCGTCAGCTGCGAGCGGCGATCCAGTCGTACTTGTTGCAATGGTGACATGTACACGTTTGAGCACTCGACGCGCTTCGGCGATGTCTGGTTCATGGATACAGGCAGCGTTTGCACTTCGGCTGAAGTGAACATCTGCAGTGCTGATACGGCTGGCGACGAAGCAAAAGACGATGATCGCCTACCGCTGCGAACGGAATGTGGCGGTGTGCTCGGAGGTACGCTGCTTTGGACATGGATATTGGTGGAGTTGCCATGACTTTGAAAGAGCTTTTGAACAGCTTCCGATGCAGCTCGTGCAATACATTCTGCATCTGAAGTAGACCCCGCTAAGCCCATGTTACAATTGCTAGCAGAGAACCCTGGCGTCAGTACCTGGGGCCGTTGCGAGGCCTCAGCGACGACCGCATCAGCTGCCGCCATTTGTGACTCCTGGAATTGAAACTGCAGTATGAAGCTCTTCATGGCTGTGATGTAATACCGGTTGTAAAACTTGATAATGTCTCCACGGGAACCTTTGGTGTCGAGGATGATGCCGTGCGTCACACCTTCACTGTTGCGCGACGAAACAAGCGGACTTGCATTTGCTAACGCGGTGCCGGATGGAATTTGCCGGGTAAGCTGTCTGTAGCATGCAAGTAAGCGCTTGAAAGACATGGTCGCCGCCGCCTGAGAAACATTAGGGCCGCGCGATACTTTGCACACGGCGTAGATGTTGCACAACACAATCAGATCCAGATGGCGGTCTCTCAGAAGGTCGTGGTGTGACGTGATACATTCCTTCACAGCAGTCCAGATCTCATTTTGATCCGTTGAATCCAAACCCAACATATTGCAGAGCTGGTAAATCCTGGATGCTGCGCAAGTAAACACCATCCGAAAAAAGAGACGAAGGACAGGCGCATGCAGAACAACATTACCACCAGCCCTGTTTGAATGGTCCGTCGTGCTTTGGGTGCTCGGGGAAGCGGCCGTACTGAAAGAGCTGGCAGAGCGTCGAGCTCCAGCCAGAAGTTGATAGAGCGCAGAATCTGACTTCCAGACTAGTGAGTCCAATATGCAGTTCTTCACGTCACCCATGTGTTTCTTCAACGCGGAAGGCAGATTCGGTGCGTACTTGACAAAACTTTCGCTTGTGGTCACGAAATGAAAAGCGTTTACGCGCAAGTGCATGAGCAAAAACGGGTACGAGATCGTGATGAGCGAGTGGGCTTTGAGCACCACCTCAGCGCTGCATGCGAACAATGCCGCAAGGAACACTTCGTTGTTGAGCAGCTTGGAAAAGTCGTTCGTGCGTAGTCGCTCGCGCTCTGATAGTAGCAATGACTCCAGCACTTGATAAAACAGCACGATGGTCAAGTTTTTTGTCCGATTCAGGCTGTCATCCACGCCGGATAAAAACAACGCGTTACTGTTTCCATCCTGGTCGTCGTCGTCGTTATTCTCAATCACCACCATTGACACGGTGGGACAACTTTTCTCCGTTGTAGCTCGACCCGACTTTCGTGCTGCTAAAAGCCTTTCTGAATGGTCACGTAGCACGCGCGCGATACGCTCTGTTGGGTCCACTGCACAGTCAGTGAAAAGCCGATGCAGCTGCGGCGTCATGTGCGTCAAGGTTGAGCTAGACAGTGTTTCTCGTACCCAATTACTTGTCTCAACAGCTGAAGTAATCGGCGTTCGCAAAGAGCACGGCGATAAGCGAGGACTTGCACCAGTATGAGACCTGTATTTGCCTCCAGGGGAGCCTTGCCATTGCCAAGATTGCATCAACGGCGAGTTAATCCCACGACCATGGAAAGGTTGTTGATGGTGCCGAGGAGGTGTCATCATTCCTCTTGAGACGGGAGTAGACCCATTGTCTCGTCGTCGAGCCATCATGTTGCGTCGCACGGGGATAGCATATTGCGCGTCATGCTTCGGCTTGTACTCAACCTATCACTTGACTTCATCCTAAAGCCGCCGCCTCCTTTACCAGGTTGTACATTAACGTTTGCTCCCATGATGGTCTGTCGAATGTGCTCGTCCAGAAAGAATCGTTCGTCCAGCTTGCCGCAGCCATCGAGATAGTCATGCTTGTATTTTTCCGACAGCCGCGTCACGTTCTGTCCAAGCACAGCATCAGCAAATAGTGTCATTCTTGACACCGCGTGTTCCCTCGCCTCGTTCTGCACCACACCTTCTTTGCCAAGCTGCTGCAGTACAAGCCCCAAGTGTTCAGATGCGCGCAAGACGTCAGCTCGATCAACTCTCGGCGCTGCACACAAAGTGTTGAAAATCTGCGTACTCGAATCAACTTCAGCTCCCGACTTCATGGGCGACGTTTTTTCGTCTCCCAAGTCTCCCAGTGCACTTAGCGCCACAGCAACTTCTGCCTCCACAGTCACTTGAGACATTTGGGTAGCATTGGTAAGGACCAAATGCAGTGTCGCCAAGAGCAAAGTGTAGAGCTGTCCGAGTCCAGAATATTGCCTCGCCAGTCTCCTCTTCGCCAGCAAAAACAGCACCCATCCTCCGTCAAACAACTTTCGATGACGCCCTTGCAGCCCCCAAGCATTCTGTAGCTCCTGGTTATCCACTGGCTTCTCAGGTTCTGGATCTGAAGAATTTCCATCCAGGCCCGTCTGGTACTCTCCTTTTTGTCCCATTTTCATCAGCGTCGTCTTTTGCCACAACTCACGGTACTTTTCAAACAGCAGCGTGTCAATGGTAAACTCCTCCTTGAGCAACGTTACAGCTGCGAGTAGCCGTGGCTCCAACAACAGACGGTTAAAGAGACTCGTAAAGTAGCGCAGGAAGATCTGTAACCCCACACCAGCTTCCGCCAAGAGCTGCACGAGATCCCACTCCATCAATGCCTCATCTTCCTCCTCTTTGTCTTTACCAACTTCGTTCTCCTTGTCAAGCTCCTGTGTCATACCAGTAGCTACAACAGCCACTACAGCCCAAATCCGGTCTGGATCGACATCCCCATTGCATTTATCACTCTCTTCCGCGTCCACGCACGCCTTTGACGGTACAATCAATTTGTACAAACTCTGGGAGTTCTCCAGTAGTCGTGGGTTGTGCCGGATGCACGTGAACGCTACGGACGCCGACGTGAAGTTGCGATTGAGCGTTCCCGCCATTTTTCACGACTATCGTTAATCAGGAGCAGATTTTATAAGGAAAGGATAGAACGATGCAAAATAGAGCGTGTGAAGTACTTGTAGAACTTAATTGCGAGCCCAAAGGGTGAAGCTATTAGTGTGTGTGCGCAAGGTTAAATACCCAGCTTTTAAATCGTACTTATCTGTGCATGTCTGTGTTTCTCTCTGTCTGTGACAAACGCGGTTAGGTGTAGGAGTACCAAGTGCGATCTAACCTGTCCCAAGTACCTAGGTATAGTGTCCGGGTCATAAATATACGGCACCCATATTTTTTACTCATAATTCCATAACAAGTACGAGTTGGGCGCTGTTATTTGTGGATGTCATGCGCAAAGCTTTACGACATGCCTCCCACGTGTTAACGTCCTCATTTTATGAGTTGGTGGCATGGCTCTCATACAAAAACCACTTTTGGCACCCGGTCAAAAGTATACGACCACATCGAGCACACAAACTTCAGGTATGAAAGAATGCTTGTTGAATGCTCAGGGTCCTTTTTTCTTCTTTTACACTTACAATTTGTGAGGAGCGTGAAGTAAGTCGAAGTGAGCGGAGTATGCCCGACAGTACTGGCGCAATTGACTACAGAAACGTGTGCTATGGCAACGAGTGTAGCTGAGTTACTGTAGCTCATGACGTATGCGTTCGTGCTTGCGCCCCCAAGCACGCGAAAATACGCTCCCGTGACAAATTTACGTACTCGAAAAGAAAACAAACGGAGTCACTGTGAGCCGCTTAGATGTACGGTCGTGCTAGCCCATTAATATAAGTGATTCAGTTCATATACTGATTCAAGTTGTAACGCACTATAAGTATTTGCTCATGTAATCATTTTTTATTTACAATTGTTTGTAAGCCATTAACATGCGTGCGCCAGAATAGTGACCTAGCCAAAGAGTGACTTTAGTATACTACTATATACCTATATACCTATGAGGGAGGGACAGACTAGATCGCACTTAGTACGTGAAAGGTACACCTCGCCGCGTCATTTACCGACGGACACACACAAACCAGTACGATTTACAAGTTTTGTATGCAGCCTGCGCACTGTCACTAATAACTTCACCCTTCGGGCTTGCAATAAAGCATCACTGCGATCTTAGTCCAGAAGACGATGGTAGTCAGAATAATGCGATGCCAAAGCATCCAAACGCCACAATGGCATTAGCTCGTGCCGCCTGCAAAGCATGTCTTAGGGCCACCGGCGGGTACAAAAATGAAATCGATAGTAAAAAAATAAAAAAAAGATGAATAGACGTCATCTAGAAGTCGATCGACGAAGTGCCGCGCAGTAGAGACCAGAAAAGATCGGCTATCTATTTTTATGCAAGTCAGCGAATAACCGACAATGTAGCGGAGCTACCTTTACTCCTTTGTCAAAGGAAGGCTTTCAGATTCGTTGAGTCTGTTAGTGTATTGAACTAATCGCAAATTAACTTACAGGTTCTCGAGTCTCTACAGACTTATTGAGACTTAACTCTTAAAATCTGAACAAGCTCCTAAGCTTCGGTTCTTAGTTCAAAGAACTAATGATTCCAAGAAATTACAAGGCACTAATGTTTTAAAGAACTAGCCTAAATACAAGCTCTTAACTTTTAATCTCAAAGACGTCTTAGCGAGACACGTGTCTTAAAATGATCAAATAAGTAAGTCAGGTAGGTCATAGCTGTGATAAAACTCACTTACGTGTTTAACCTTAAACTGTGCTACCTAATCGGATAGTTCTCATGAGGGTTCATCTGGTGTTACCCCATCAGAACTACTCCGTTATTTTTAGGTCTCACTACTTTAGATACCATCTATCCGTACTTGATAAGGTATGTTATTACCACTCAGCGTCTTTAGTACAGTATACGCCTATCAGAGGAAATGATCACTTTTGGTGTATATCACACCAGCGTAACTAGGTATCACAATTGTTTGTGTCGCCCCGTTGAACCCTCCCCCACCAAACAGTCTAAACCACAAAGCGACCTTTTCACCTTTTTCAATGAAAAGATCGGAGAATACATATAACCTTATTATTTTGCTCACGACACCTTGCGCATCAATAGCGAAGTCTTCGCGTTCCTCCGAGTTTTTGGTAGACTTTTTTCAAGAAGAGAACATCGTCGATTATGACAGCGACAAGGTAGCAGAAGAGGGTTAAGACCCCGAGCCTGACACGCCAGCATTGCATAAACACTCGTGCATAGCACCTACCCCATTTTTTGAACAAAGTAAAGCTTAGTACTAACAGCGATACGTGCCTCAGCCGCTCAAGGGCGTATGGGCAATCTTGCCAAAGGGTAACCGCAAACTCCGACGCGTTCTCAAACTCAGTGCATCCACGACAATTCATCAGATACTGTCACCGAACTTTGTGGTGACGACGCTTTATAAGCCTCTCCACGTGGATCTGCAATTTGCTTACTCGTTGAGCAACGCAGGGGGATGTCGGTGTGTCGATAAAGGCTCATCAAGAATCGGTTTCTAAGGTGAAGCGACTCCACGAGTCTTTTGCTCATGTGCAGACGGACTTGAATCAGTATGTGGCTGAGAGGACGAAACTTCGAAAGAACCTTGACCAAGAAAAACGCACTCCTGAACCCCCATCGACTAAATTGGCTCAGTTGCGTGAGCAGATGAACCGTCTCGGCTAGATCGACTCGGTTTATATACGACTGCGGAAGGTGTAGTACAATCTGCATCGACTAGTGGTCATGTGGAGACGAAGATGCAGTTATCGGGGACGACTTCCCTCTTTAAAACGCAAGCGCAATCCGGTTCACGATAGACTGATCTTGATATGGCTGGAGCAAGCCAACTTAGAACACTAAGCGTGTGCGCAAATTTCTCAGGATATTTGGTGTAAAGGCAAGGCCTTTATTCGCTACGATCGTGAACAGCCCAGTGGATTACAGACGCAGTTTTGTCTTGAAGACGGTAGACACTACAGTAGTAGGTAAGTTTTGAGCAATACTTAAGACTTGGTATTTAACTTTATAAGAATCAATGCATCCTCTGCCGTTAGCTTCAGCTTTTTCTTTTTACTTTTCTTGACTATCCATTATTGCATCACGCACGTACCGTAAGAAACTAAAGCACGACGCGATAAACCTGCATAATTCATTCTGCATCGTGGTAGAGCTGAAATTATCAAGCTTGTCTGCAGACTAATCCCCACAAAGACAATAACCACGGAGTCATAACTCGAGTGGAACGCGGTGGTGCGTGAGGCTATGCATATAGAAGGGTATAAATTGTAGTAGTATCATGAAAAGCGTCAATCTACGCGAGCTCAATGACGGGTAGCATCGATTTCCAAGTCATAGATGACTCAGCACAGACACTGTGAAGAACGTCGCCGAAGACGTGATAACTCACTTAGATTGACCATCATTCTGCGGATGATCCGTTGTAAGCATGTTTCAAATGGGTGCCAAGCATCTTAAAGATGAAAGTCCGAGCAAAGCCTGTGAAGCTAGGGTCGTGATTAGAGATAATTGCCAGTTGCAACCCGTGATGACGAAGCATACTATCGATTAATAGCATAGTTGTACCTTCACCACCAATGAAATCCTTTACCTCCGCTAAGTGAGCGAATTTGCTTATCGCGGTCAACGAAGACCACAAATCCCGTATTTCTGTAATTGCATTTGAGAAGATAAAATACAGAGTGTATACTGATGGGATCCCAGGACCCTGTGGAAACAGGCAAACTAGCTAGTGGTGCAGCCGAATGTACCGAGGTTTTTACCCGCTGGTACGTTGTGCATGTACACATGTACGTGCTCACTAATTTGTAGAGCTTTGACCAAGAGTAGTGTCGAACTACGGATCCATAAGTCTTTCCTGGACTAAATGCCCACTGAGGGCAGTATCGGGGGTCATAAAGAGAGGTCGATAGTTTAAATCCTTACGGTAAGGTACAACAACGCGAGCGGTATCCGTAACATCTTTGCGATAGCATAAGATACTATTATCGATGGAAAATCTATGGAGGCTGGCACGCAACCGTGCCAAAAAAGGTCTGTCCGAGTCTTCATTCTTCTCACCTCCAAGGGCATATACAATGACACAAATTGATAGACCGTGGATGTGCAACGACATTTATCTTTAATTTGAAGACGAAAGGGTCATGACGTGATCAATTGCATGTTCGGGATGGCGAGAGTGGGCATCTGCCAACACATTTTGTTTGCCTGGATTACATATACCTTGAAGCTATATTCCACAAAGAAGTATATCCAACGAGCCATTCTGTGAGAGATGTGAGGCGACTGTGTCGCCGTGCGTAATGACGCATGATCTGTACAGACGAAGAATAAATCGCATTTAGTCAGGTGAACTCTAAATTCGACAAGTACATGCTCCATAGCAAGTAGCTTTTAGTCATAAACGACGTAAATCTTTTTAGCAGATTTTAGTCGACGAGAATTAACTGCGATCACTCGCTCGCGGCCTGCAGCATCTGTTTGAAACAGAAATCTGCCTATGGCATAGTCAAATGCATTGCCGACAACGCTAAATTATTACTAAGGAGTTGGCAACGCCGAAAATGCGAATGGATATAATTTCCTTTGTTACTTTAAATGCGTCAGCATGGGTGTTTTCCCAGAGCCAATTTGCGTCATTCTAAAGGAGATAAGTTAATGACCGAGCCACATCAGTGCAACTGTCACTGTATTGTGTAAGCAATCGGCAAGGCCAAGCCACTTACGCAGGTCTTTCTGATTCTTGGTAATCGGCAGGTCCCTTATAGTCTTTACCTTAGTGAGGTCAGCTCTGAGACCGCGCTTAGCCATTAAACACTTTAGAAAAGGAATCTCTTCTACACCAAAGTTGCATTAAGACGCGTTGGTCTACAATTTACTAGCACGCATGCACTCGAGAACGGCTCACAAATGACCGATATGGTTATTAACATCTGACCGAACTTGGTTGGCACCACTTTAGACGAAAATGTCATCAAAGTACGGTTGTGCGTAATCTCGATGTGGATGGAAAAGTTGCATCGCGTGAAGATCAATTGTAGCCTGAGCATTAGACGGACCTTGAAGCATCACCGACCATAGTAATACACACCACTTGGAGTGATCAATGCTGTAAAAGAGATAACACTCGCTCGCATGTGCAATTGATGACATTTATCGACTTGGTCGAGTGTTCTATATGTCGTACACCCAACTATGTTGTTTTACAGAAATTCCTTTCGAGAAATGTGTGTCCGTGTCGGAAAAGTGGCCGCATCAAGCTTTTTGCAAGCATGTACGATACGCCACTTGGCATTCGGCTTTTTTTTTTTTTTACGCAATGTTTTGGCGCCTAATGTGAAGATTTACTCTTACATGCCATTCTTGCCTCGTGCTTGGCACAGAAGAAGTCATGAATGATATTCGATTTCTCCTTAGGCAAGGTCCACTGTAGTGTGGAGGAGTATTCAGTCTTAATGTAATAGGATAATTTCATCATTTACACCTCAATCTGGAGGTGAAACCGAGAGTCGGTCGTGGCATACCACATCTTAAAATTCCTTGACTAAGAAATAAAAGGGATACTGAGGTTCTTTCAATATTGATGAACAACTATACACACTGAGTGCTTCTTTTGGGGCCTGTAGAGCGCATTCATCCAAAATTGAATCATATTTCAACTCTATGGTGTCGGGTAGAATGAAGCCACCTCTAAAATGTCTCAATTTTTTAGTGAGTGACCAACCTCGTCGACTGATAACTCGTCGAATTCTATAAGATCACCTGATGAGGGTATGGCATCAAGCATAACCGTTCTATCAAAGACGCCAGTCACTCCGTAAACAATTATCTACATCAGGGAGACATCATCACATTACGCCACAGCAAGAGCTTCGTGATTAGTGTATTTCTGATAGTTAGTATATTTTGACGTAGTATGCTCTAATCTAGAGCTGATGTCACTAATAGCATCCGGCGACCACTGATTTGACATGACGTAGTCATAACGTAAATTATGTGCCACTTAAAGCGCATCCGCTGAGCCGAGCTCGGGATTCCTTGTGTTTTTGCAAACGACGTCAAAATTGACATTCAGGCGTCGCTATCACATCCAACCTTTTCAGTGGGTGCATATGTGCCACTCCATGCTCATCTGATGGGCCCAGACCTTGAGGACCTGACTCTTGTTCAGCAATGCTTTAAGCGTTCTTTACGTTACTCTCGCGATGACTATCACTCAGCAAAGTACGTGCCGCTTTACTATTACATAAACATATTCGCTCCTTAATCATGCTTTTGACATCGTCAGAATCAACTAGTTCTAAGATTCCAATGTCTAGCACAATGACATTTTTAGCCAGTGGCTTAAGCTAATAGCGCTTATGATTCCTATAAAAGCTGTTTTCATGACCCTCTCAAAGCTCCTCTATGGGCAGTGCGCTTGGCGCCTTATGCTTTCGACCTTTAGTCGATTTATGGTCATGGCGATCGAGCCAAGCCATACCAAGAATGATATTGTGGCGAAGTCACTAATCAAAATTTTGTACGAGGTTCGGTGGCCTCATATTTGAGACGCCACTTACTCGTGGAAAATGAGGCCATGGGACCTGGCGATCCGATAAGGAGATGGAAGGCGATCTTAACGGGGATCGGCGATCCGATCCAACTGTCGTCAGACTGATGGGTATGGAACGATCTGAGACGGAGCGATCTGGGACAAGACGACAAATAGAACGATTTCCATGAAGCGATCTGGGACAAAGATCTGGGACCAGGTGATGTGATATAACTCTGTGACGAAGGTGTAACACCTTGCAGATCGGTGACACTCTCTACGGGTCTCCCAAAGGGAGTACTGATTTAGGTTAATTGTGGCCCGATCTGGAAGTGGGGATGTTTGTGGGAGTACTTGGGACCGTTGTAAGAACTGTATATGGTATCATTAAGCAGATAAACCCTCGGGGATGGTTTTGGAGTACACATAACGAACGGAAGAACATATATGGCCGGATTGTACTGTGTCGATCCTCAATGATCTCGAATTTGGGCATCAGATCGGTCATGTAACGGGGCACCCTGAAGCTTGTACTGGTGACAGTACAAGCTACTTATTCTGATAACAGAATAAGGCGGTGCCTCGTAACTTCACGTACACTCGTACGTGCAGAGGAAGACGGTAAGAAGAAGCGAGTACTTGGTTAGAGTAAAAAGTAGAACTGTATTTATAATAGTTAATGTCTGCAATAAATCACTATTTATCTTCATCTAACTATGTCTAAATACAAATGTGTAAATCAGTTATCTGCTCACCACTCATTGCGTGCGTCTGTCATGGCGGCGTCTTCGTTGGTTGATATAATGGCCTATATCAACCAATTAGGAACTACTTGGAAGTGCTACAGAATATTGTCCTTATGACAATATTATGAGAATATAACTCTTATAGTTATATTCTATTAACAATTTCTTATAAATTGTTATGTAACGATTCACCCCGTTACATCACCCCCTTAACCATCAGTCACTTTAGTGACTGATTGACTAAATGGATACTCGTCCCAAATCATTTGGGAAGGGGTTTGCACTTGTTGGTCCGCGTCCACTTTCCAACATCTCATCGCATGGTAAACAAGCCCATGCGATGCGCGAGCAAGGCCGCCGAGAGCGCGTCTGCACGTCTCTGTGCGGACGCCGAAGCAGAAACTACAGCAACTGATGTCCCATCGGTTGCTGAATCGACTCAGCCTGTATCACCTGGTGATGCAGGCGCTGGTCATGAAGACACTCGTGTCTTCACAGAGTACGAGATCGGTGTCTCGTACTCTCCTGATACGGATGACGGATCCGTATCGACGGCAATTGAATCCAAGCCGCCTGCCAAGCGTGGCATGGACGATGCTTTGCGTCGCAGCATCTTTGGTTCATCTGATGAGTCAGATGAACCATCGCCGAAGCGAAGGCGCTCGAGGTCGCGAGACTCGGGCGCTAATAGTGGTGTCGTTTCTCCAATGGACACCACTTCACAGCGAGGTGCCAGTACTTCTGTCGGCACGTCGCAGGAAGAGCGGGACCGCAATGTGTTGCGTCTCGCTCCCGAGAAGAAGGCATGAATGCCTCCCAAATCCGTCATGGATAGCTTGTCAGCGACGACGAGTGATCGTTATCGAACACGATTGTTCGATTCGTCGAGGATTCATCACCTTGACCCCAGCGCGAAAGACTATCGCGCTGAACATGAGTTCTTCATCGATGCTTTTTTCAGACATCGATGGTACAGTGGGAATCACAAACGTGATGGTCCCTCACTACTTCAGGCGTGGAACGCCTACATCCATAATCTCGAGGATGTAGGTCGTGACGCTTGGAACGACAAACTTATCAAAGCTCGTGATAAGTTTGAAAAGCGAACCCCGACAGGTGCACGCTATAAGCTGCATCGTCTGTCAAGGGAGAAAGGATTACCCTGCCTCTCTTGGGGAGACTCGTGCCCATGTTGTGTGAACAACTCTGCACGAGCACCTAAGGAGGCTTACCTCCTTACCAGCCCGTGGTGGCGCGTACGTGTCTCTACTGAGATGTACGAAGGGATTGACAACCTGAAATCCCTTTACGACCGTGCCGGGAAGACTTTCTCCGGCGGTCCTTCTGCGGCACAGGATGTGTCGCGTCGTACTGCTCGACCAGACCCAGTACGTCAACCATCAATTGGGAGCGGGGCTCCCAAGAATCCCAGGACGGGGGATAGCCGCGCCACCGGACGAGGTAACTCGTCCGACGTCCGTTCACGTCGCGGTGGTTCAACAGCTGCTCTACTAGATAGCGCTGGCCACCGCGAGAGTCCTCTAATGGAGGTGGAGGAGGAGGAAAGACGCTCTCCACACGATCATGTGGATCGGTGTGTTCCCGAGAGCTTCTTTGATCGCGTAACGCAAGGGTTACGCGACGATCTCGAGCATGAGCGGAATAGGCGTCTCCAGATGGTGGACACTGCCTCGAAGCATCGAGCTGAGTTTGCCTTTGCTCAGCTTGAGAACGAGAGATCTCTGACATCTCTTCGTGACGAGCTAAGGGTAGCTCGTGGGATTGTTGATCGGTCTCGGGCTGAGATAACTGCTCTTCAGACCCTTGTTGATGCCCACCATCGGGAGCACAAGGCTCTCTGCGAGATGCTTGAGCGCAAGGGCGTTCTTCATCGGAAGAAGCAGCGTACTGATGGTACGGCTTAAGCCGACCAACGTAAAACGTGGGATGCGTTCGCATCTTACGTGGTAACTCGATCGTGTATGCATTGCCTAGGCGGTGCAATACACGAAATGGGCCAATGTACTTGGGTAGTAGTTTACTGCTACCCAAGTTAGTCACTACATGTTTTGGTAGATTAACCGTAGACAGTAGGACTAAGTCACCTTTATTAAATAAAAGAGTGTTTGCCCTTCCATTCTTGTCAGCGTTTTGCTTTTGCTTATCCACCGCTTCGGCGATGGAGTCTTGCACAAAACGGACTACCGTTTCACGAGCCAGTATGAACTCATCTGATGACTCGTTAGCTTCAGTGTGCTGTGAGCGCACTGCAGCGACAACAACCTTTTCTTCAGTGAGGGCTTCCGCACTCTCACTGGGATCATTGTCTTCAGTGAGGGCTTCCGCACTCTCACTGGCATCATCTTCTTCGATATCGATGTTATCGATATCGGCATCAAACGCTATGACTTCTTCGTCAGAGCGTGATGAGCGTCAACCAAATCGGTTTTTGCTCGCGCGAGTCCCTCCCCCCCTTAAACCAGAGTTACACTCTAGTAAGGTGGGTACACGCGGATGGCGCAAGCCATTCACGTAAAACGGTGTATGTGTCGTGGACGCATGCACCGAGTTGTTGATGGCAAACTCTACCATTGGCAAAAACTCACTCCAACTCTTAAAGGAGTGTACGTATCCTCGAAGTATCTCTTCGAGGACACGATTGGCACGTTCCGTCCGACCATCTGACTCTGGATGATCAGATGTTGACATCTTCAAGCGCGTTCCGAGTGATTTGAACACGGAACGCCAGAAATCAGCAGTGAATCGTGGATCTCTGTCTGATACGAGTTCACGGGGCAACCCATGAAGTCGGAATATGGTGTCAATAAAGACACAAGCATAGCCACTTGCCGTGATTGTCTCTGGTACAGCCACAAGGTGTACCATTTTGCTGAATCTGTCAACAAATACGAGAATACCCGTATTCCCGCGTGCGTCTTTGGGTAACCCGAAGACGAAATCCATTGAGATGGATTCCCAGCACTCAGCCGGAACCGGTAGAGGCTGTAAAGGTGCACGCAGTGAAGGACTTGACTTCACTCGTTGGCAGACTTCGCATGCGCGAACATACTTTCGCACAAACTGATACTGGCGGGGCCAGTAAAAGTCTCGACTTACCGTGAGATATGTTTTCTCTCGGCCACGATGTCCTCCTATAGGAGCATCGTGATACTCGAACATGATCCGCAAATGCAGATCAATATCATCTGGAATGACAACACGTGGTGTGTCACCAGAAACGGCTGTATAGTACAGTAAACCGTTACGAGTAGTGTATCGATCTGATGCAGATCGATACGCAGACGACAATCGTTTCAACGATTCTCGAGATGGCTGTGAAAGATGTGTCAACAACTTCACTATCTCACCATCTTGGGCGTATGCCCGCCTCACATCATCATACAACGTTGTAGATGGAACTGAGGACGTCATAACCGCAACAGTGACTGTCTCACTGTTGGGTTTCGCGACTGTTTCAAAGTCGGGACGACGTGAGAGTGCATCAGCGACGACATTAAGTCGTCCTGGTTTGTACTCGACCGTAAAGTTGTATTCTGCAAAGAATGACAACCACCGCGCCATTCGTTGTGAAAGGTGCGGGCTGTTCACTGCCGTGCGTAAGGACGCATGGTCAGTGTAAACAACGAAGGGTCTATCTCCTAATAGATAGACTCTGAACTTCGCGAGTGCATACTTCATGGCAAGGAGTTCCTTGTCATGCACTGGATAGTTCCGCTCAGCTGGTTGCAGCTGACGCGACTGATAGCAGACGACGCGTTCAACGCCTTCAAGGTCGTACTGCATTAATGCACAGCCGATTGCGAAATCGCTGGCATCACAGACCACATGAAATGGCCTGTCCTGATCGGCTATTGCTAGGACTGGGGATTGTATCAAGCTCTGCTTGATACCCTCAAAGGAGCGTTGACATTCAGCGTTCCATAACCACCTCTCGTTCTTTTTCAACAAACGAGAGAGGTGTACAGTCATCTCGGCGTAATTGCGTGAATACTTATGCAAATACGCCGCTAGCCCAAGGAATTTTCGAAGACCTTTGACATCGACCGGCACGGGCCAGTCGGTGATCGCCTTGATCTTTTCGGGATCAGGACGTACACCGTTCTTACCAACGATGCACCCAAGAAGTGGTATTTCGTTTGCTGCAAATATACACTTCTTGGGGTTTGCATACAATTGATGCTTTCGCATGATTGTAAGAACTTGTCGGACGTGGTACTTGTGAACCTCAACGTCCGACTTTCCATCCATAGCTCGACTATGGATGAATACGTCATCGAAATAACTCGGCGCGAATTCTCGTACTGGCCTCAACAGATGTGATACACACCTGTTGAACGTGGCAGGGGCATTACTGAGCCCTTGTGGCATTACTAGCCATTCCCAGAGCATGCCGCTAGGCGTGCTAACTGCGGTATAGGGTATATCCCGTTCCCGCATTAGGATTTGATAGAAGCCATCCGTCAAATCCATGGACGAAAAGATGGTACTCTTTGACATACCATCAATGATTACGTCCTTCCTCGGTATCGGCGTCTGAGCCGGTACCGTTGCAGCGTTCAATTTGTTAAACGCGTGCACTATCCGCCACCCTCCTGTTGCTTTTCGCACACAGAAGGTCGGAGAGCTATGTGGGGAAGTTGATTCCCTCACATGGCCCGCTGCTAAACGATCGGCAAAGAACTTGTCGATCGCAAGTACTTGTTCACGAGGCAGTGGCCACTGCTTCATGACACAGTACTTCGAGCCTGGTTTAAGCTCGACTTCGTGTCGAATACCTTTATCCTTCGGTAATTCGCACGGAACAGTTTCAGGGAATACATCCTTGAATTCAACCAAATCTTCATAGAGAGGATTTTCTTTGAGCGATTCCCATGATTGGGACTCATATCGCTCAATTCGTGTCTTTTCATCTAGGGCACTCTCGTCCATAGATGAACTACTGAGAACTCTCTCGTTCTCAGTAAACACTGTTGCTGACCTTATGTCGGTTACATACTCGTCGTCAGCGACGAGTATGCAGATCTGCTTGACTTTGCCACTACGCAGATCACGCAAGAACCTTTTATGTTCGAGCGTTGGCAACTGAGTGATCTCCGAAGTTAACTTCGGAGGCGCAATCAGATCAAGTGTATAAGCGCCTACACATGATCCGTTATTGACTATGACATTCAATGTCTCTGTCATTTCCTGGGGACTTATTCCCTCAGGCTTCGAAGGACTTATTCCTTCGTCTTCCCGGGGACTTATTCCCGCGGGTTTCGGGGAACTTATTTCCGCCGTATTTGTAATCTTAGGACTTATTCCCTTTACTTCCTCTAGCTGGGGTTGCGCAACCACAGCGAGATCCTCTACGAAAGACTCTCCAGTCGATCTAGGATTATCGTTTCGCTTAACCTGAGCGATCGATTGTTTCTCTTCTAGATGTTCCCCTCTAGGGATACATCTTTGTCCCGGTCCACTCGACTTATTCGAGTGGTGGACCTTCGGCGCAGCCTGTGTTTCGTCACAGCCGCCGGAACTTTGCTCCGAAGTGTAACCGTTTGTTACACTAAGGTTTCGTGCAGTCGTACTAATGACCGTACCACAAGTGAGGCCATCGCACTCACTCGTAGTACATCTACACGCTTGTGGACGCTCCAAAACGTTCATCAGATGGCCATCTGATGAACAAGCGGCAGGCATCGTTACTGTCCGATGTTGCCAGTTTACCCGTGGTTCGTACCTTCTGAGCCACGGTATTCCAAGGATGACATCAAATTTGTCATCCAAATCCAATACGATAAAGTCA